GTTTGTACTGTGTCTTGACATCAATATGATTTGTGGCATCAGTTTGTACTGTGTCTTGACATCAATATGATTTGTGGCATCAGTTTGTACTGTGTCTTGACATCAATATGATTTGTAGCATCAGTTTGTACTGTGTCTTGACATCAATATGATTTGTAGCATCAGTTTGTACTGTGTCTTGACATCAATATGATTTGTAGCATCAGTTTGTACTGTGTCTTGACATCAATATGATTTGTAGCATCAGTTTGTACTGTGTCTTGACATCAATATGATTTGTAGCATCAGTTTGTACTGTGTCTTGACATCAATATGATTTGTGGCATCAGTTTGTACTGTGTCTTGACATCAATATGATTTGTGGCATCAGTTTGTACTGTGTCTTGACATCAATATGATTTGTGGCATCAGTTTGTACTGTGTCTTGACATCAATATGATTTGTGGCATAAGTTTGTACTGTGTCTTGACATCAATATGATTTGTGGCATCAGTTTGTACTGTGTCTTGACATCAATATGATTTGTAGCATCAGTTTGTACTGTGTCTTGACATCAATATGATTTGTAGCATCAGTTTGTACTGTGTCTTGACATCAATATGATTTGTAGCATCAGTTTGTACTGTGTCTTGACATCAATATGATTTGTAGCATCAGTTTGTACTGTGTCTTGACATCAATATGATTTGTGGCATCAGTTTGTACTGTGTCTTGACATCAATATGATTTGTGGCATCAGTTTGTACTGTGTCTTGACATCAATATGATTTGTGGCATCAGTTTGTACTGTGTCTTGACATCAATATGATTTGTGGCATCAGTTTGTACTGTGTCTTGACATCAATATGATTTGTGGCATCAGTTTGTACTGTGTCTTGACATCAATATGATTTGTGGCATCAGTTTGTACTGTGTCTTGACATCAATATGATTTGTAGCATCAGTTTGTACTGTGTCTTGACATCAATATGATTTGTAGCATCAGTTTGTACTGTGTCTTGACATCAATATGATTTGTGGCATCAGTTTGTACTGTGTCTTGACATCAATATGATTTGTAGCATCAGTTTGTACTGTGTCTTGACATCAATATGATTTGTGGCATCAGTTTGTACTGTGTCTTGACATCAATATGATTTGTGGCATCAGTTTGTACTGTGTCTTGACATCAATATGATTTGTGGCATCAGTTTGTACTGCGTCTTGACATCAATATGATTTGTGGCATCAGTTTGTACTGTGTCTTGACATCAATATGATTTGTAGCATCAGTTTGTACTGTGTCTTGACATCAATATGATTTGTGGCATCAGTTTGTACTGTGTCTTGACATCAATATGATTTGTGGCATCAGTTTGTACTGCGTCTTGACATCAATATGATTTGTGGCATCAGTTTGTACTGTGTCTTGACATCAATATGATTTGTAGCATCAGTTTGTACTGTGTCTTGACATCAATATGATTTGTAGCATCAGTTTGTACTGTGTCTTGACATCAATATGATTTGTGGCATCAGTTTGTACTGTGTCTTGACATCAATATGATTTGTGGCATCAGTTTGTACTGTGTCTTGACATCAATATGATTTGTAGCATCAGTTTGTACTGTGTCCTGACATCAATATGATTTGTGGCATCAGTTTGTACTGTGTCTTGACATCAATATGATTTGTGGCATCAGTTTGTACTGTGTCTTGACATCAATATGATTTGTGGCATCAGTTTGTACTGTGTCTTGACATCAATATGATTTGTAGCATCAGTTTGTACTGTGTCTTGACATCAATATGATTTGTAGCATCAGTTTGTACTGTGTCTTGACATCAATATGATTTGTGGCATCAGTTTGTACTGTGTCTTGACATCAATATGATTTGTGGCATCAGTTTGTACTGTGTCTTGACATCAATATGATTTGTAGCATCAGTTTGTACTGTGTCTTGACATCAATATGATTTGTGGCATCAGTTTGTACTGTGTCTTGACATCAATATGATTTGTGGCATCAGTTTGTACTGTGTCTTGACATCAATATGATTTGTAGCATCAGTTTGTACTGTGTCTTGACATCAATATGATTTGTGGCATCAGTTTGTACTGTGTCTTGACATCAATATGATTTGTGGCATCAGTTTGTACTGTGTCTTGACATCAATATGATTTGTGGCATCAGTTTGTACTGTGTCTTGACATCAATATGATTTGTAGCATCAGTTTGTACTGTGTCTTGACATCAATATGATTTGTGGCATCAGTTTGTACTGTGTCTTGACATCAATATGATTTGTAGCATCAGTTTGTACTGTGTCTTGACATCAATATGATTTGTGGCATCAGTTTGTACTGCGTCTTGACATCAATATGATTTGTAGCATCAGTTTGTACTGTGTCTTGACATCAATATGATTTGTGGCATCAGTTTGTACTGTGTCTTGACATCAATATGATTTGTAGCATCAGTTTGTACTGTGTCTTGACATCAATATGATTTGTGGCATCAGTTTGTACTGCGTCTTGACATCAATATGATTTGTAGCATCAGTTTGTACTGTGTCTTGACATCAATATGATTTGTGGCATCAGTTTGTACTGTGTCTTGACATCAATATGATTTGTGGCATCAGTTTGTACTGCGTCTTGACATTAAAATGATGTAACTGGTGAACTGCCCTATTCTGAACCTAAACTGGAAGGCATTACACACTCTGCTCTCACATGTACTGTTTGCAGAATTGAACTGCAGGAACTCTGCAGGAACTCAGCAGGTACTCAGCAGGTACTCTCCAGGTACTCTGCAGGAATTCAGCAGGAACAGGTTTTCACTGTTATCACCGCATAACTCACCTTTCTGCACTGTTCCGCCAGATTCGACAAACCTGAAACAAATCACACCGGTTCAGCTCATCACGACTTGGGTTTCGCCGTCGCCGCCTATGCTGAGCTGTGATTGGCTGACGACTCACATACACCGTCGAACCTAGTCGGACAAGAGAGACAGGAGGATACAAGAAAGACGAGAGGACATAAGAATGACGAGAGGACACAAGAAAGACAGGAGGACACAAGAGAGACAGCAGGACATAAGAAAGACAGGAGGACATGAGAAAGACGAGAGGACATGAGAGAGACGGGAGGATACAAGAAAGTGCTGAATACATAGTCATGAACAATAGGGCTTTCAGGTCCTCCAAGAAAACTGGCCTGGAGTCTTGACAACGCTGACTATTGGATACTGAATCCACTTGGACATAGTCTTCGCATGGATCCATACACGTTTGAATGGTCTTCATCCACAGTAGGGTGACATGGGGGTGACTGGACTAGGCTCTCCAGGTCAGGGGCCCTCCCGGTCAGGGGCCCTCCCAGTCAGGGGCCCTCCCGGTCAGGGGCCCTCCGGGTCAGGGCCCTCCCGGTCAGGGGCCCTCCCGGTCAGGGGTTATCCCGGTCAGGGGTTATCCCGGTCAGGGGCCCTCCCGGTCAGGGGCCCTCCCGGTTAGGGGTCCTACCAGTCAGGGGCCCTCTCGGTCAGGGGCCCTCCCGATCAGGGGCCCTCCCGGTCAGGGTCCTTCCCGGTCAGGGGCCCTCCCGGTCAGGGTCCTTCCCGGTCAGGGGCCCTCCCGGTCAGGGTCCTTCCCGGTCAGGGGCCCTCCCGGTCAGGGGCCCACTCCCACTACAGAATAGCACACCTGTAAGCGACATGAGGGATCTACCCCTCCTCCCCCCCCCCCTCCCTCCCCCCTCCTCCCCACCACATACCAGTAGCGATCCGGAAGTTCTTATTTGTCGTTTTTTAACCATTCTGACTTCATCACTTTCAAGCCCTGTACATTGCTAAAAGACTAGGCAGAGGATTTCCCTACACTAGGCAGGGGATTTCCCTTTGGCAGACTGATGAGTTCGTACCAGACAAACCAATGCCGTATGCACATTGTGAAAGGACTAGTACACAGTCGGGTACAGAGAGGAAGGTTAGCTCAGTGTGTGTTTGTGTGTGTGTGTTTGTGTGTGTGTGTGTGTTTGTGTGTGTGTGTGTGTGTGTGTGTTTGTGTGTGTTTGTGTGTGTTTGTGTGTGTGTGTGTGTGTGTGTGTGTGTTTGTGTGTGTGTGTGTGTGTTTGTGTGTGTGTGTGTGTTTGTGTGTGTGTGTTTGTGTGTGTGTGTGTGTGTGCGTGTGTGTGTGTTTGTGTGTGTGTGTGTGTGTGTGTGTGTGTGTGTGTGTGTGTGTGTGTGTGTGTGTGTGCATGCGTGCATGTATGTATGGGTGAATTTGTTCTGAGCCATACCGAGATGGAGGAAGTTGTTCTGTTCGTGGATGCAACGGTAGTAGGTCAATCCAGCGTCCTCACACCCAGGCGGCTGGACATCCAATTTGATATTCTATTTAGCAGAGAAAGCAATAACGATGGCATTGCCAAACATGCACCCAAACACACAAGCACCCAAACACACAAGCACACAAACACACAAGCACACAAACATACAAGCACACAAACACACAAGCACACAAGCACACAAACACACAAACAGACAAGCACACATAACACACACGTACCGGTATATAAATACATGGTCACACTTCACAGGACGAGGATACAGCATTCATGGTTTAATTTTGAAAGACACTGTATTACTTATCGACAAAAGTACATAACCAAGAGTGTGCAACTCCTATCTTGAGCTGCGCTGGATTCACCCACGGAGGAATTTTATATACTGTAAAGGCAGAAATTTTCGGTGGTGTTTTATTTTCGGTAACTTCGGTGCCGATAATTTTTACCGAAAATAAAACGCACCGAAATTTTCGGTACAACCGACACTGTTTACATGTAGTACTAGTACACTAACCTGGAAAACAGGTTTTACCGAAAATGTCTGCTTTTACAGTATTGCGTCATCGTTTGTCAGAAGTATGATGTCATTGTTTGTCAGAAGTATGATGTCATTGTTTGTCAGAAGTATGATGTCATTGTTTGTCAGAAGTATGATGTCATTGTTTGTCAGAAGTATGATGTCATTGTTTGTCAGAAGTATGATGAAGTGCGTATGCTTTCTTGCTCTTGTTTTGTAGATACAGTGAGAGTTCATCAGGTTCAAGACACATCGATTTAACACATGGCCAGCAATCGAGGCCATCTGAGAGTGGTAATTGTTGTACTCCTCCAAGGTGTGATTTTTGGCATGCTGGGCCAAGCACAAGGAAGCCATCTGCCAAAAAACCTGAAGAAAATGGTTGTTGCTTGATCCTTTGGTGTAATCGTTGTAGCTAATCGAAGCTAGTTGCTGTTTGGAGCAGAAACGCTGAAATTGACTATTTTCTGCATGTACTCAGGCATGCAGTCCCACTCGTATTTTAGCTCTTTTTCTGGAATGGATGCTGCTCTGCGTCCCTTGGTGAACATTACCCGCGCTCGTGGAGCAGCTGAAAAGGACCACTGGTATGTCTGGCTCCTGGTTCGAAAGTGGAGAGTCGACTTTTGTGCCTTGAAAAAGGAGTAGAGAGCGATAAAGGTACGTCTGTAGCTTATTTTTGAGTGCTACTTGTACAATTTTGATCGTGATAGAAAATTTCTCAGACCAAAGTCTGCGCGAAGATGGCCGTACCGTTTTCTTGTGGATTTTTTTAGTTGTCTTGTCTCGTACCTATGTCAGTATCGTGATGGTGAAGTGGACAGGGTGATTTTCTTCCTCTAGGCTTCGTTCGGCCGACTTTTCTTCGTCCTCGTTGAAAAGTGATGCTGAAAAAAAAGGTGGATTCGCAAAACTATGTTGATTTTCAATGTACGTGATGACATGCGATTGCTGGCTATGTCCGTTGTTCTGCTTCGACTACCGTAGCTGTAATGTACAAATTACCGTATTACAGTCGTCCCTCTCTAATCCGGCACTTTATAATCCAGCACCCTCGATAAACCAGCACAATTTTCAGTAGCCAAAATGTCCTCTTCATGCACATTGCAGCAGTAAATCAGATTTGTTAATCCAGCACCCTCCCTAATCCAGCAGATTTTCGTGGCACAAATGGTGCCGGATTATAGAGGGACCACTGTATCTCTAATATAAGCACGGTCCTTTATTTTTTCAATGTACCTCCGCCCCGTGCTATTAATGGAGACGTTCCTTTATTGGAGACCGTTCCATTATTATTTCAACCTCATTTCATAGGCATGTTGCCATGGCCGAATTCATGTCAGACACACAGATTTCAGGGATTTTTCGCCGGTACAGATAATGAATTTACACAGTGTGCTTATAATGGAGACTGAGCACTTTATTTTCTGAATGCCGCCCCAAGGTGTTCTATTATTGGAGACGTGCTATTATTGGAGACTGTGCTTATATTAGAGATAATACGGTATTTGTACTTTGATCTCTGGTTACACATGATGGCATCAGTGAGCCAAACAGCCGCCAAAGACTGATGTCATAAAAAATTCCGCTGTGGGCTAGGGGATCGTCGAGTTGAACACTCTTGGTTATGTACTCTTGCTATCGACAAGGAACTTTTCACATCGTCAAGCTGCCATGTTATCCTGCAATGAATCCCCGCCGCCTTAGAGAGAATGAAGCCAGTTGTCTCATGCTGTCTGCACCGTATTGAAGATTGCAGCTGTCTGCACCGTATTGAAGATTGCAGCTGTCTGCACCGTATTGAAGATTGCAGCTGTCTGCACTGTATTGAAGATTGCAGCTGTCTGCACTGTATTGAAGATTGCAGCTGTCTGCACCGTATTGAAGATTGCAGCTGTCTGCACCGTATTGAAGATTGCAGCTGTCTGCACCGTATTGAAGATTCCAAATAGCATGGATACTGACACCACCTGACTACAGGGTCAACCATCAAATATGGAAATGTCACCCCACAACACTCGGAAGAAGATAACTGGACATTCGATATCTGCTAAGAAGAAAGGGGGCTGGTTGAAATATCTACACACCATAGCAATCGTACAGTTGGAATCAATGATGAGTCATAATTATTGGACTCCTAAAATGTAGCATAATATGGTGATGTGGCACTTCCCAGCCTTATACTCCATAGAACAGTTACCTTGGCAACGGGTCTTGGAGAACATGTGGGACAGAGATAGGTACTGTGGTCGTCATCTTGCCATTGTACACAGACACAATGTTGCCAATGCTGAACACAGACATACAGTGTATATGCATGCACATACACCACGCACACACACACACACACACACACACACACACACACACACACACACACGGACACAGGCTCAACAGCTGTGGACAACACAGCTAATACATGCACTGATTTTTGACACAGTTTTTCTTTGTGCTGTGGGCCCAGTGTTGCCACAACATTTAGGCAAATGTCAGTAGAATAAGAAGAAAAGAAAATGCACCATCTGGGGGCTTCACCCCCACAGCCCCATTCATAGTAACCCAAGTACACACACGCACACAGGCGGCAGAATTTTCACGGTTCTGAGTGAGACTCAAACTGAGTTTTCCACCTTTTCCAAAGAGTGGCCAAGAC